CATTGCTACATTATATGCACTCATGTATAGTAACACTGGAAAAAGTGCACGCCCACAGTCCCCCGGACTCTTAATATTAGGGGGGTGGGGGCGTTTAATATTAGGGGAGGGGATGAGTTGCCACTCACATATCCCAGAAGGCCATGGGTTTTGCCACGCATGTTGCCACACAGCATCGCAAGGTATCGATTCGTTTAGGGTTCAGGTTTTCGAGGACGGGATTTCAGGCATACTGCTCCAATAATGCATCCATCAAATGAAAACCAAACTTGAAAATGACTTGGAAACTGGAACTACATTGTGGTTCTCAGAGTTCAGGGCAAGCGAACACACTGGATGTGCCTTTTGGACCGCTTGTGATTATCAGCCTGCAGTTTGGGAGCTTATTTGAGCTACAGTCTGAACTCCTAGTCTCCCTGTTGATAAGCCCTAGAATACTCTAATGTAATCCGGTATGGACACCCCAGTTTTGAGGAGTTTAGATTCTGGCTCATTTGCTATCAGCCCGCCTGGAACATCTGCAGTCGCGATGAGCCTGTCATCCAAGACCTATTGCTGAACTTGGAACCCTAGCAAAAATGACAGGTTTTGCTGCCTTAGGATTATAATAAGCAAAAAGTAAAAAATACTCAACCCTAAACCCCTAAACGCTAACCCAGGAGACCTCCATGAGCTCGGCATGCTCTGCGGGGGTTGAGACCTTCACCTACCGACAGCAAGCAGGGCGGCAAAACATGTTTTATTAAAGATGTTGGGGGATTCCATAAATCGATAGCCCCAATATAAACCCCCATAGACTAGAATTCTTATCCTAGGGACCCCCAACTTATAGAGACCCCTTTGTTTTCCCAAAGGGAATGACTTTGTTTTCAAGCCAGACCTGCTTCACCGCCCACTTGCTCACAGAATACGACTTGGGCCGACTTCTTGCTCCATGTATCACCTGCACGGTCATAGAGGAATATGTGGGACATACTAGGTAAGTTAGGGGTATGTAAGGGTTGTATTTGTATGTGGTTTTTTAGAAATACAGGCATATTAGCCCAATATTAAAATGAAACTAACATCGGGGGATATACAGGCACAAAAACATGGAGATTCTCATGTAGAAAGAATATGGACCATGAAATGGCAACTACCATGTAATTTGCTATTTAAGTTTGAGGGTATAGGTTTTTTGGGCGGATTTCTCATCAAGCTTCGAAACCCTAGACCCTACCCGCAAAAAGCCGCCTGCACTTCCGAGACGCAGCAGGAGCGCCCAGCTTGCTGCCAGGAGCCCCCACGCAGCTGCGTGGCTCTGAATCGCAACTTGGTGAAGCCTGCAGTTGGGACGTATAGGGGTTATACAGGAACATCTAGGCACGTTACCCACATCAAAAGGAAAAGAAACATTGCAAATGAAGCGGATACTGGGCGAATGACTCTGGCACTCCAGCTGAAGCGTAATATTCGGAAATTGCTAGGCAAGGCACATTGCGACATCTGCGCGAACTCTTTCTTGGAAGCAGTGCTATCACGCCAGCGGAAGGTATGTGCAGCATTCACCTTGGATTGCATGAAGAACCGTGTTCACATATCCAGCACAACTTGAACCATAGAAGAATGACAAATTGGAGGGCAGTTCAGGCCCTGAGAGAGCCAAGATGCCATGCTGTTGGCCGCAGCTTCGGTGATCAAGCAGTCCTGATGCTCACACTTTCTTACAAGCACAATATGGTGGTTTCCCAAAACAAGGGACCCAAATATAGACCCAAAAGTATTTTGATCCTTATTATCAGGGACACAAGACAAGGTACCCTAGTTACCTAATTTTCGGACACCCGGACATCATCCAGCCTTAGGTCTATGTGCAGCCGATTTGCATCGTACAGAGACTCCACGGCACAGCTCCAAACCAGGCGCCAAGCACTTCCAAAGACCGCTTCCTGAATTGCAGGTAGGCTTTTTGCGCCTTCAGTTTTGCCTACACTCGCAGGCTAGGCTAGGTGCAGCATTTCAAGGACCATGTGAGCTACAGTCTAAACTCCTGGCATCCCCCTTAGTATCCCCCGTAGTACCTCCCTGAATAGTCACCTATGTAGCTCACTTTACGGAGTTTGGACTATGGCTCACGTCAAAATCCTAGCCCTCAACCCTAAACCCTATACCCTGAACCCTATAGTAGATTCCATTTTCTTTTCCCTTATCCCTACCTCGACATGTGCTTTTGCCTAAACCCTAAACCCTAAACCCTAAACCCCAAAACCTTAAAGCAAAGCATCCATTGCACGGCCATCGCTTATCATATCCCGCAACTCGGTCTCCCGAATTTCTTGGCGGCGGGCACTCGCATCTAAGTCCAGGTGCCTGCGTTTGTTTAGGATTAGCAGGGAATCAGGGAGTATAGGGATATCGGACAAGAAAATGGAAACTACAATGTTATGATAGAGTATAGGGATATTGGGAAAGAAAATGGGGGTTATATAGGAAATGCATTCCCTTCTTCCCAGGAAGAAAAGCACACTCATAACACAAGTCGGTGCACTGCGGAAAGACTAAGCTTAAGTGCCTGAGAGCAGATGAGACCACGTTCCGCAATCCACGGTGCTCTCCCATTGCATATCCGCCAATCCTGAGAAACTGTACTAGCCAGCCAGGAGGTGCGGAAATAGCAGCGCTATGAAAAGCCGGTCAGCGAAATGAATTCAGCCCAGACACCCGATGACCAAGTAGAACAAGAAATGCCTCAAGAGCTCACATAATATAATTGTTGCAACATGCATCAAGCTCTCCAATGCCTTTGGTCAACAGCTGAAGAATATAACCCTATAAACATCCATGTCATATACTAGTTTCATGTTCTTTTCTATTCCCTCATTGGTACTTTTCGCGGACAGCCATAAGTGCAGCCAGGTCACAAGTCCAGGAAGGCCGTCATGCCCACAAGCACGTAAATGGCTATAATCGTCAAAACACAAGCTGCCTGTCAGGGTTTAGGGTTTAGGGTTGTTTAGGATTTAGGGTTTAGGGTTTAGGGTTTAGGGTTTAGGGTTAGGCAAGCTGCGGCCCAGTAGATGGATGGCCATGGGATTGCTGGGGGGCTTCCAGATTACCGATGTGGGAAGGGAAAAGAAAATGGAAACTATCAAACTATAGGAACTATATATACTAAATTATAGGGACTCTATGTGGTCAAACCTGCTTCGGGAACCCGTCCAAGTATCGCTAGAGCTTGCCAGTGCTTGCTAAGCCACACATTCAGATGGCACTGGATGTAGGCTTCCGATGCCAGGCACATGAAGTGCCCACGCAAAGAGCCGGTTTGAACAGGTGTCCCCGCAAAAACCCTGGAACGAAAAGCCAGACACCAATGGAGCCACAAAGACGGTCTCAAAGGCAAAGCACCTTGACACTACTTTGCCAAAGAAAATAGAAAATCCTGTATGATAATAGGGGATCATATTGGGGTTATACAGGAATAATGGAACAGAAAATGGAAACTACTATGGTATGGGATAACGGAAAAGAAAATGGAAGCTACTATAGAATATTCGGGTTATATGGGACAATGGAAAAATGGAAGCTACTATAGTATATTGGGGTTGTATTGGGATAATGGAATAATGGAAACCATTATTGTCTATTGGGGCTTCATGGGATAATAGGCAAATGGAACTACTTTATGGTATATTGGGGTTATATCGGGAAAATGGAAAATGGAAACTACTATATGGTATATTGGGGTTATATTTGGAAAATGGAAAATAGAAACTACTATATGGTATATTGGGATAATATTGGAATAATGGAAAATGGAAACTACTATATGGTATATTGGGATAATATTGGAATAATGGAAAATGGAAACTACTACATCGTATGTTGGGGACATATTGGGATAATCGAAAGGAAAATGGAAACTACACTTGGTCTTGCAAGCTAAGCCATATGCTTGCAAAGGCACAATACCAGCACACCTATCCAAACAATCAGCGGCGCAGAGCCATAGCCCTCCTGCAACCCTAAACCCTAAAGCATGCAGGATCTCGCAGGTCTCTGTCTGATGATGCAGATGACCCTGGGAAAAAAGCGCTGCAACCCAGATTGCCTGTCCTTTTCCAAGGGGTCCGGCGGGTCATCAGCGAGGACAGTAAGGAATGAGTCTGAACTCGCTTCCTCGCGAAAACCATCAGCTTCCGCAAAGAGATTGCACGTGTCCACAAACTGCACCCCCCAATCTACTATAGTCCTCAATCTTGGGACTTCCAACAAGCAGGACCCCTAAGCTGCCGGGAAATCTGAAACCCCTTGGTCCTCCGCCTGCCGGTTCGGCGACTCCACTGGTTGGCTGACCTGCTTCGCCTTCAGGTCGCTGGGAGTGCCGTGGACGAAAGGGATGTGTCTGCGGCGGCTGAAGATGAAGAAAAACAGCAGGCGAAGAACCGCATAGCCACAACCTGAGAGATAAAAACTGCTGCAAAGGAAACTTCTATAGTCACTATAGTATATTGAGGTTATATGGGGCATGTAGGGATTATGGATAATGAAATGGAAACTACTATAGTATATTGGGATTATACGCAAAGAATGCTTTCTTAGGATTGCAGAGCGTTCCCAAGAGTGCAAGCCCCAAAACCCTCAGACGATTGGCATGAACGACGGCGTTTGAAGCGTGGCAGGACGGCAAGACGAAAAAGTGGCTCTTAGCATGAAGCGATGTTCCTGCAGAGGACATTCTGAGCAAATTGCTCCTACTAGTCTCTGCTAACTGTGTATTTACATGCACCTGTCGAACTACTGTTGTTTGTTATTGAGCCTGCAAGCTTCGGATTCTGAAAGTTCCCAAGCGTTGATTTTGTAAGCCTAGGTGGGTCACCATCACATCTCGCGTGCAACCTAGTTTCAGCACATCACGGCAAAGGTGTCTGTGCAGTCCTTGTCCTGCGCACGAAACATCAATATAACAATCGTTTGAAGCAACATGCACCCAAGCCTTGAAACCTTCATGGAGCATCCGTCCTTCTGGAATGTCTCTTCTGGGGTTAGGTTGCAGAGGTTTTGGCCCACTTTGCCCAGGACCACCATTGCCAGCAGGCTTCCGCCGCCTAAAACCACGGACAGCAGCCGCCTCATCATTCGAGCTTGATGCAAGTCTGAATAGTCAGGCTTGTCTTAGTCTTGTAGTCTTGTTGAACCGAGCTTGGAGAATTGAAATCTTGTTGGCATTTTGGCATCTGGAGGATCCAAGCATGGCATCCTTTGTGCCAATGCTGATGGGGTGGGCAATCGACTGATTTCTGCTAATGAGCAATCGTAATGAGAGGGCATTCCTCAAAACACCAATGCCAATGGGTTTTCTAAAGTTTCCCCGTTGCCATAAGTCTTACCTGTCAAGTGCCAGAATGAGTTGGTAGTTTCCATGAGTAGCAAAACCTGAAGGAAGACCCAGCTGTTCTTGCGACCCCGAAGATGCACCTCATATCACTCTGTGAGACCAAGGACCAGTTCATGTCCCATGTGCTTTTTCCATGATTCTCCATTCTTGGGATGGTCATCCTTATCATTGAAAATAGCCCCGAATATATTCCCTAACGAAAAGAGTCATCGTTAGCTTAGGGGAGCGGGGGATCTTAGGAGGAAATGCAAGCAAACAGGCCTTCGAGTCCACCTGCGGTGGGTCCGTTTCACCTGCTTCCAATGTCAGGGAAAAAAACAAAATTGGTGAGTCAAATGGCCTAGAAAAATGCTACTCAGATTGGGACGTTGGATTGTTACATATGGTCAGCAGGGAATAAAGCCAATAGGGCCCGCAAGTGTTCCTATACTTCTGCCAAACCATTCACCAGCCCTGAATGAGAAAAAGTCTAAACTCCTAGTAACCCCTTAATAAACCATATAATACTCCCCGAAATAATCCCCTATATAATCCCCAATAAAAGCCCCCTTTAAGGAGTTTATGCCCCTTACAGGGAACCCTGATGTCCGCCTGCGAGGAGAAGCGGCCAGGGCTCCTACAGAGACGGCGCTGCGCCAGGCCGTGCCAGAGGAGGCCAAGCTCCGCAAGACTCGGGGCTTTCACCACACAGTTGAGGGTTTAGAATGTAAGGTTGAAAAGGGTTTAGCGTTTAGGACTAAGAATTGAAGGTTTTGTCGTGGAACACTTTTCGACTTGTTTTGGGCTTAGGGTTTTATTTTAGCCCCTCAGACTTTTTATGCCTGCATTGCATGCAAGGGGTCACTGCCCATCAACTTGGACGCAATCCAGGGGTTTAGGGTTTAGGCTTTAGGGTTCAGGGTTGAGGGTTAAATAAACTGTGAAGGGATCATGCTCCCAGTTTTGAGCGACTGTTGGGCAGGTTTCGACCGACGGTGTTGTTGCTTTTAGTTGGTTTTGTCCCTATGCCAATATAACCCTGGTATACATACCAATAGCTTTCCTTGGATTGGTTTAGGGTCTTTACCGAGCTTAGACTGGGTTGCTGTTAAGGAACTTAAGTGTTAAGTTACCATAATGGGTATATGTAGCAAATACTATGGTGTCCCCTATATAGTAGATTAAACTAAATTCCTTAACAGCAACCCAGAGTAGGGTGCTCTTATCAGTCGAGTGCTCCCTTATTGTGCCCCAAATCCATCAGCTTCGTCTCGATTTTAACCAGGCAGCAACAGGAGGCTGGCATCTAGCAGGGCCATGATCTGCACGGCATCAGAGCGGCTGCCCCGTGGGCTGAAGAAGCTGTCGTTCTGGTCCTTGCAACTCACTCAGGGCATCCGAGGCAGGAAGTGAAACCTTCTAAACCCTGAACCCTTTTTGCTGCTGGACTTGTTCAATCGCCAGCTCCGGAAGCCCTGAACCCTAAACCCTAAGCAACCCATTATAGTAGTTTCCATGTTCTTCCCATTATCCCCCTCCAGTCCCCTATATAGCCCTTATATAACCCCTATATAACCCCTATGCCCACTTGGGCAGCTGAGGGCGCGTCTGGCAGCGTGCCAAGGTGAACATAGAAGGCTAGGAAAAAGATCCAAATCTTCACCGTGAAGACCTCACGCACAAGCAAAAACAAGCAGCTAGGAGGGCCTGCATTGACAGCCTGCATGAACACACCCAGAACCCTAAACCCTAAACCCTAAACAAAGGAATAACAAGGAAATGAAATTGGCAAGGTGGCAGGGCCAAAGTTGTCCAGCAGGTCGTACACAACTCGCCAGGACCTACATGGGGGTTTCCCAATATTGGGGGTACCCTTTACAGTTTAGGGTTTAGGGGTTTAGGGTTTAGGGTTTAAGGGGTTATAGGGTATATAGGATTTATATAAGGTTTAGGGTTTCCCCAAACTAGGTACCTTTGAAGGGGGTTATAGGGGTTAAGGGTTTAGGGATTAGGGTTTAGGGTTTCCCAAAATTAAGGGTACCTTTTTTGGAGTCCCCATAATCGGGAGTATATTGGGGTCTATATTGGGGTCCCCTTATTTAGGGAAACTACCACATATTGAACCACCAGAGCTACACGCAAGTTTATCCCAGCTGCGAGCGCAACGATCTGACAAGTAAAGCTCGTGGAAACTACAAGACAGGATTGGCAGCCAAGAATCGAGGACTCCAAAAATGTCTTCTGCATGGAGTTGGCGTCGACTTCTGCCCTCGCTTCCCCAAGATCATTTATGTCCTTATGCAGCTTTGGCGAACATGAAAAGCAAGACTCTCATGAACACCTCGTTAGACAGACCGAACGAGCGTCGTCGAAGTTGATACCTCCCGTGAAGGGGTTGGTATTCTTCCGCATCGCATCCACGCCAGCATGTAGCGAATCACAATCCTCAGAGGGCATATGTTGAGTCACAGTGAAGAGGCACACCCGGAAACGACATGCGATATCAAAAGCAGGTGCAGGCTTTAACTTATTGTAAACATCCCGTACTCCAGCAACTCATGGAAGAGAACAGCACTGGTAAGTAGGTGGGCTCTTCTCACTTGGTCAATGCTCTCGCGATAAAATCAACACATGAGGACCTGCCACATAGCCCCTGTGGCACTCGAAAGCAGACTTGACGATGGGAGAGCCCTCATCTGTTACAGCCTGATCCAAGCTTCAAAACAGAAAGCTCCAGACAGCACTACCCAGGTTACCTAACGCTAGTCGCAGTTAGCAACATCATAATTACATAATTACTATTGCTTGGTCTCCTTCTCATACAACCGGTACTGCCAGGTAGGTAGTTGATCAATATCATAGTCACCCCTCGGTGACATCATGACCGTTACCAACCCTTACTACATTCACACATCACCAAGCTCCCACTTTCATGAGCACGGTAACGCCCAAACCAAAACCCTACAACTCATGAAACCTGTAGACCCTAAAACCCACAACCCTTATGAACCCTATAAACCCTAAAAACCTATAAACCCCACAAGCCTATAAACCCAAAAACCTATTAACCCTATCAACCATACAAAC